GGGTTGATGTGTCAGAGGCTTAGCATTATTGAAATTTCTTCCTCGTTCACATAAAGTCTGGGAGGATGAGTGAGTCAGGTGCTAGGCTCCATGTCATAATCAAGTATCTAGGCTGAAGAAGTCATTGCCATCCTTAAAAAGGTGCCTCCCAGGGTTACCCTTACTGGTAACATAGCTGAAAGGAAAACAGAGAAAGTGTGGAAGTAATGTGGAGATAGTTGTGAGCATGTGTTCTGGATCCACTCACGTTCTACTGGGTAGACCTGTCATGTGATCCTACTTAGCTGATGGAGTACATGGGAAACGTAGTCTCCCTCTGCTCAGGCAGCTCCTCCTTCCCAGCCCTGCACCGTAGAAGAGAGGCAGGGATCTTTGGAAAGCTCACCATGTGTGCCACAGAGACATTGCCATTGACAGAATGCTTCCCCTTGTGGTATGGTGCATGCTTCTCATTGCCATGTATTTTGTCAGCTGTGCCGTCTTCATATTATAAAGAAGTGTGTGGAACATGAGGAATTATTTATTACATAGAGCAGTAAGTGTATCTATCGTCTGCCACTCATCACCTCCATAAATTCGCTTACTTTATCTATAAAAGCAGGACAATAGGACCTATTCTTAACTCCTGTTGAAAATCATATGCTGCATCGTAGTTGCTTGGCATTATACCTGGCATGCATAAGTACATGGCAGATATTAGCTCCAAAGAAGATAATGATGCATGGAGATAAAGAAGCTGATGCTCCACCCATCCCAGGGAACTACTAACAATGATGGTGGCCATGAGAACAGATGGCACTTTCTTCAGTGCCGCTGCTCCAGTAATGACGTCTCGCCCACACTCATACAGGTGCAGCCTTATTTAAACTCAATGGGTCACACACAAGCCTGGAAGGTAGGAAGGGAGTCGTTGAGAAGAAGGGTTTCCGTGGGAGAAGGAGGGGTGTGAGAGAGGGTAATGGGGTAAAAATAACTAAAGTTGGTTATGTAATGTATGAAACTGTCAGTGAATGAAGGTAAAGGAGCTGCAGGCCTGGAGAGATGTCTCAGTGGTGAGAGCACTTGCTGCTGTTCCGGAGGATTTGTATTTGATTCCCAACATTCATAAGGTGGCTCAAAACCATCTGTAATTCCAGTTCCAGAGGATCTGGTCCCTTCTTCTGGCCTCTGCAGGCATCAGGCATGCTCATGGAGAACAGACATACATGCAGACAAAGCACTCATAAAATAAATTTTTTAAGTAGTTGAAACTCAAGAAAGGTAAGTGCTTAACTAAACACTGTACTCTAAATGATGGCAGAGGTGAGGGCTTTAGTGCTTTCCTCTGATCATTGCTTATCAAGGGCCCTTGGCAGAAGGTACGGTGCCCAGTGTTCACATTCCACTGCTCTAGTGGACCCAGTGTTCCAGAAGAGCCAGTGCTAGCAAATCAGCACAGTCCACTCACCTGCCATTGCCTCTGTGGGAGACATGCTGACCTGACTGAATGCCTGCTCGTATCTGTGCCCACACAGAAAGGCGTTCTCTGGCCTGTGTTTCGGAGCCTTTGTTATAGAGGAAGTCCGCCTGGTGCTGGGTAAAAATGCAGAAGCAGTTTCCTGGGATGTTTAAGTCACTTTCAAGTCTATCTCTTGACTCAGTGAAGAGACAGATCCAGTGCAGTTTTTTGTTGTTTTTGTTTTTTGTTTTTTTCTCTTCCTTCACATTTACTGAGCAAGTGGCTGAGAAACTTTTTGGGTGTGCACGGTCGTAAAGGATGTTTCTTTCTCTTTTGGAGCAGCAGAGAAAATACAGCCAGTGTCCTCTGATGTGGGTTGAAACAGTGGAAAGAGGAGAAGGGAAAGAGTCATCTGGGTATATCTGAAAAGCCAGAGCCTGTCAATAATGAGCCGCATGTGTTGTGATTAAATTGTTGACATCAAGGGAAACCAGGCATCCTGGGATTTCAGTTATCCAACTTGACTGGGTGTGCCACTTGCAGTTGAATTTAGCCATTGTCATTGTTTCCCCTTCTAGGAACTAATGTCCAAGAGGCTCAGAAAATCCTCAGAAACAGTGGCCTCCCTATCACATCAGCTGCGGACCTGGAGGATGCTGCCAAGAAAGCTGTTGCCAGTGTGGCAAAGAAGTGATGTGATGGCTTCCCCCGGCTCCCGTGAAGAAGGGCACTTCCCGCATCACTGTGAAAGCAATTGTTATCTCACTGGGAAAGGGGTCATACACAAGGATCATTGTCTGAAAAAAATCTTAAGTCTGAACTTTCTCAATGCGCTATCCACAGTGCCTGAAGCTGATTTTACACTGTAGTCATTGTAAAAAAAAAAAAAAAAAAAATCACATCTTACAGTTTCACACTTTCTCTTGTCCAGTCACTAGCAGGGTCTGCCAGCTCTGAGCCACAGTCAGTGTGGCCAAGTAATGTGCAGAGGTACAGTATTTGAAGCCTGATCGGTGTCTATCCGTAAGAATTTGTGGGCATTTACTCTTCTGTAATAGAAAAATTGCAGGACTCACAAGTTCAGACAGGATTCTGATTAACATAGTGACTTCCAGAAGGACACAGGTAAGACATCTGAGCATCTAGGAACGGAAGTTTCCAGAAAGCCCAGGAACATAAAGTATAAAGTACGGTTTACATTGGGAGTCCCACATTAATACATGTACATTGTGCCTTAATGTTGACTATACTGCCTGCCTCACACCAAACTACAGCCGGAAGCCTTAGATGCAAGTTTGATGGAAGGTTCTGTTTCGGATCAGGGCTGTGAATACTGACTGACTTTTATGAGACTGTAGTTAAGCTGTCTCATTAAGAGACAGTACTGAACCAGTTTGTCATAGATGAGGCAATGTCACTGGAGAGAACATGGCTTTCCTAATAATGTCCTTTCTTGTGCTGAGAATTTTTTAATTTGATTTTTTGTTTAATTTTGATAAGTTTGTACTGATAATACATCTTAAATAAAATCGTTTTTCAGTGCTATGTTGGCTGCACATTTCTGGTTTCTGTCATTGCTTCATCATTCTTTCCTTGTGAAGGCACTAGCCTTTGTTCTGAGTCCCAACTCCAGTTAGAAACTGTGGTTGACCTGGACTGTTCCAGCGCCACCCTGCCTTGTCATGTGACCATTTCTGTGGCAGATGAGTCAGTGAAGGACTAAAATTTACACATTAGACAGAAGCCCAGAAATATGTCTGTGATGTTGGACAAGGTGACGTGGTCCAGTCAAACAATGGTGTACAGCCGGGGTTGCCCTTAAAGTTTTTTCATTCGTTACCAATGCATACTTTGTGAACAAACACATATTTTGTGAACAAACAAAATGAACAAATTTGACATTATTCTCACACATTTCACAAGTGCGTAAAGTAAAAAATCTTTACACATCTTTATGTGCCATGGAGAAATAAACCATTGACTAGATCTGGTCGTCTGTCTTTTCTCAAACACTGCACTGAGTGAAGACTATTAAGACGTCTTTCTAAGTCTCTTGTTTTCTGATAGCTTAATAACTAGTTTACACAGTAAAAAGAAGTAAATGTAAATTTTGTCAATCAGCGGTATGAGTTTTGTTCTTTGAAAAAGGCCTGTGACTGTCTTGTATATTGATATTTCTAATCAAGCAGTTTGGAGGCGGGAAGGAATGAAACCATCCATGTTGTTATTTTATAGAAAGGTTAATAATAGGCAAATAGTTTTTCTCTTCAAATGAGCAGTCAAGCTCATTGTGTGTATTTGGATTGTTCAGATCCCTGATGCTGCAACAGTATCCATAATGCCTCAAATCTGTGACTGATGCTGTACAATCCTGTGTCCTGTAAGTGTGTGTGTGTGGAACAGACACTGTGGGACTCAGAGAATCTGCTACAACTGTGCTATTGGCTCCTAAGTGCCCCTGTGTGCCCTACCCACAGTGTATCCTATATTTTGAATCTCCTAGTAGCCTGTACTATACAAAAATATCAGAATGGTTACCTTTCAGTCTTATCAGGTGTGTGTGTGTGTGTGTATGTGTGTATGTGTGTGTGTGTGTGTGTATGTATGTATGTATGTATGTATGTGTGTCTTTTTCAGTGTGTGTGCACATGCGTGTAAGCAATGTATGAACGTGTGCGCAGAGGCCAGATGAGAGTGTTGTTTGTCCTGCTGTGTCACTCTCTGCCTTAATTCACTTAAGGCAGAGTCTCCCACTGAGCGTGGATCTAGACTGACAGCCAGCAAGCACACTTGATCCTCAGAGCTGAGGTTACAGGCATATGTGCCATCCCTGCATTTTATGTTGATGCAGAGAGTTGTAACTCAGACCCTCATGTTTGCACAAGTACTCTTACCCATTGAGCTGTCTTCCCAGCTCCCCTTCTCAGTACTCTTTAAGCTCGGCTCTGCAAAAGCACAAAATGTTCATAAAAGGAAGTAGCAGTCTAAATATGATACCTGAACTGCTTCCTGTGCAGGCTTTTGGCTGGTGTGTTAGTCTACCATAGACTGTCACAGTCTCCTAGAACAAGTGTCATGTTTAGAGGGTCATCTCTGACCCTCCCACTTACTAACATCCATGTCTTTGACTTGATCAGCCTATTACACCTGTAAGAGTTGGAGCTTTTCCATTGAAGTTGTGTCTCCATTCATAAATTAGTACAATAGCAGGGAAATTGTTCAGACCTGTGGATTGCTTTTAATGAATCCCTGCATGATGTGTGTCTGTGTTCTCGCTGTACTTGCTCCCCAAGAGAAAAAAAAAAATCACTGTGAAGAATTATGTTTGTCTTTAAATTGGAAACTTTAATAAAAATGAGAATAAAAATTATTTGACATTTCTAAGTTAAACATTTAAGAATCTAATGGGATCCTTAGTTATATAATATATATATATATATATATATATATATATATCTAGCAAAATAGGTGGTAATATGTATTATGAGTAACAAAAAATAAATATTGGAGGAGTAGGGCAGGGTGTAGGTTATTACATAGAATTTGGGATCTGAAGATTGCAAACTAAGGCCACAGAGCCTGTTAGAGTTAATTAAGTTTCTGTGTGTTGTGTGGCAATGTTTGTGCTTCAGCAGCACACATAGTTATCATAGAAACTTCATTACCCTAAAATATTAATCTCTGGCCCATCACAGATAAGGCATGTCAATCTCTGATCTAGATTTTTTTGAAGTGGTATAACTGTTTTCAAACTGGAAAAGGCAGATATAGGCATTAAAAGTGACATAGAAATGAAAAAATAGGGAATAAGTTTTTCCTCTTTCCAACCCTATGAAAACTAAGTAGTCTACAAAAGGCCATACTCACCAATGGAAACCTATCCAGTTGTGTTAGTTTGTCTTCCCATCACAATAGATCTACCTGTGCATAGTTGGTTGTGAGTTTATCCTTAGACGTGTGTTGAAACAGCATAAGATCATAGGTACCTGTACTAAACTCCCAAGGAGGTGTGTGGTGGTTTCTATAGGTGTGCCCATCACCATAGACCCATGTGTTTGAATGCTTGACCTATGGGAAGTGGCACCAACTGGAGGTATGGCTTTGTTGAATAAGTGTGACCTTGTTGGAGGAACTGTGTTACTGTGGGGGTGGACTTTGAGGTATCATATGCTCAAGCTATGCCCAGTGTGAGGGACAGTTCACTTTCTGTTGCCTGTGGATCAAGATGTAGAGCTCTTACTCAGCTACCTCTCCAGCGCCATGTCTGCCTGCATGCTCCTTGCTTCCCGCCATGACAATAATGGACTAAACCTCTGAATTGTAAGCTAGCCCCAATTAAATGTTTTTTCTTTAGAAGAGTTGCCCTTGTCGTGGTGTCTTTTCACAACAGAAACCCTAACTACAACAGGTTGCATCCATGAAATCATCCTCAAAAACTATTTGCAGGGGGCTTGTAGAACAATAAAGCAAGAGGCAAATGACCTGATGCTTGTTCTACACCCAACATTGCTTCTAAGGTTCTCTTAGACATTGTGATAAAATGCAGTCAGACTCCCCTGTTAGCATTTCACCTGCACAGTACTGGGCAGATAGAGTGTGGGATTGTATGTGTGTCTGTTGAGCACTCCTGTTGTGTAACAAAATGTTCTGTGATGGTGACAGTGGCAAATCCTGGTACTGGCCAAGATCTAGCCATTAACCATGTGACTAAATGATGACAATGAACTGAATTGTTAGGGCTAGAAGATATCTCAGTGGCTAAAACACTTGCCACACAAGCCTGATGACTGAGCTTGGATCCCAAGGACCCACACAAATCCAAGGACCCACAAAAGAGCAGTAGCCTACGTATCTGTAATCCTAGTGTGTCTATAGGAAATGTGAGAGACAGGAAGCACTCCACAAGCTTTCAGGCCACCACGCCTACCTAGCTTACAAAACAGAAAAGAAACCTTGTCTCAAACAAGGTAGAGAGAGGACTAACACCCCCATATATCTTCTGACCTCCATAAGTGTGCCGTGGCATGTGTGTCCACACCCTCATGCAAGAACACTCAGGCTTCATTCACATTTCAGGGGGACTAAATCATTAAATACGATAATTAATCGCCACATGTGGCTGATGGCTGTATATTGTAGGTCACAGCTCGTTTAAATCTCATGGTTATTAAGATGCATTACATTTATTTCAGAGGAGCCACATTGATCAAGTGCTACTTTGTGTCAGGCCCCTTACTGTGTTACCTTAATTAATCCTCTTAAGTACTCTTTGAATGCATCATTCTTACAGGTTAGAAAGTTGCATTTACTTTATTTTATTTTATTTGAACTTGTGTTTTGGCCACATGTGTAACTATGCACACATGCATGCCTGTTACCAGCAAAAACCAAAGGAGAGCATCAAATCCCTTGTAGCTGTAGCTACAGGTGGTTGTGAGCCACCATTTGAGTGCTGGGAATCAAACCTATGTCCTCTGAAAGAACTAGCTCCCTCTGAGGGAGCTAGGAGAATGAGAAGGGGAGAAGAAGAGGGATGCAGAGGACATGAGGGAGCAGAAAGTTTGAGTCGGGAAGAATAGATGATAACAAGAACAGATAGCACTCTTAACCACTGAGCCGTCTCTCCAGTCCTAAGATAAGTGTATTTTAGGGATGTTGAGTAACGTGAGCGGGAACACATAAGAGAGTGGGTACTCAGGATTGGAACATGTGCAGAGTACAAAGTCACTGCTCTGTTTCATAGCTATAAGGACCCTATGCCTGTGGCATCTGTGGTCATGAATATTGAAAAGGAATGTGTCATCTGTCATGTATTCCACACTTAGGGAAAACAAAATTTGAAGGCTGAAAAATCAGCAAATACAACTGGACAGGTTGTATAAATTCACAGTATGGATGACACATCCCAGGCCTGCAAAAAGCAAAAAGCAGAAGTGACTTAAGTGCCTTTCTCAAACACTAAAAATACCATGACCACCTAAGACAGAAAGCGTAGAGAGTGATGAGAAGAATAAAATGCCCATTCATAGCACACAGCCCAAGAAGGGAGGTAGAGTGTATAGGTCCTCACTCTCAGAGAAGTAGACAGCTAATCTCAGCTACAGGGTCAAAATGTTTTGCACACATGTCAGGACAAAGAGAAGGTAAACCGTGTTCATCATGCATGAGAATAAAGAAACGGCATGGTGTCTGTCCTTAATGGAAGTGAAGCACCCACATAGCAGACAAGTCCTTACTGATACACATACAATCCAATGTTTCTAAGAGAACTTTTAAAATAAAATTACATAATTATTCCCTTCCCTTTCCTCCCACCAGTCACTCCTATGCCCCTCCTTACTTCCTCTGGAAATCAAAATCATGGCTTCTTTATTGATATATACATATATATGTAGGTAGATTTATATACATATATGTGTGTCTTAGTTGTGGTTTCTATTGTTGTGAAGAGTCACCATGACCACAACACTCATTTTTTTAATGATCTATTTATTCTTATTTTATGTGCATTGGTGTTTTGCTTGTATGTATTTGTATGAGTGTGT